CCCTATAATTTGTGGACTGTAAAGTGAAAAAAAAAAGTGGAGAAGTGGATGTCGCTCTGCTGTACAGTAAGTTACAAGTGGGTCACTGTATAATGGATGGTATTAAATTTGAATTCAATGATATATCATTGTATACGAAAGACGTTTCCGAGCGGTGACGCGTTTGGTCAGTGTGGATATTTTATATTATATTTATACAATTGTTACTAGGTAGTACTTATTATTAATACTGTAGGTAACCGGTAAGTTGAACTATCATTGTAAAATTACAAAAAAATATCTGAAATAGTTATTTTTGGTTTTTTAATATGTAAATTCGTCCAAATTTGAACTTAAAATAACTATATAAATAAACTGTGTTTATTTATTTTTTAGAGTTTTGATAACGGTTAACACCCGTAAACTTTTTTTTATAGGTGATGTGTACCTATAGGTATTTACGGTAGGTACACCGACGAAGTAGAGGTAGGTAGCACGCTACACGAGTAGATACCTGAAATAATAAGGATTAATAAAATTAAAAATATTATATTTATTTAATATTGGGTACCTACTATGTATTATCGTATTAATATAATAAAAATAATAATTATTATTAATGATGATACCACGGAATACAGGGAATAATACGCGTACTATCACAGAATAGATGAAATTTTGATGACAATTTCATCTATTCTGTGGTACTATGCTGCAGATGACGTAATCTCTGGCGTATCGGTAGAATAGTATTATTCGTGTTTTCTAATGTAATGCTCGCCGTAATAATAATAATAATAATATTATTTCAATCCGCGACGGCGGCGGTTGTATGGTGTGGGGTAGCCGCGTAAAAGTATAGACCACTCCCTCATCACTGCACCCTCACCTATTCACCAACACTTCGGTGTAACCGTCATCAACGCGGTAACCAACGCCGCCGCCGTTGTCGTCGTCGTCACACGATCCACAACTTCATTACGATTATTGTCATTGTGATAAGCGCGATAACCGCCGCGGTCGGTTTCCCCGTTGTTGTTGTTGTTGTTGTTGTCGCGGTTGTTGCCATTTTCGTTGTCGACAAGACGTTGCTTGTTGCCGAAACGATGTTAGGTTAATCATGACAGGTTAATCTTATTTGTCATGATATTTTTTTGATAACAACTGGTATTATATGACTAATAACAAATACTATAGATTCTAATCTATAGTATTTGCTAATAAGTATATTATTGTATATTATGAATTATAATTATAATTATTATAATTAAACTAATATACTGTAAATTGTGTTTCAAATATTTATAATAATATTATTTTTTTTAAGTGACTACCTACACGTTTACAGATATGTAAGTACCTATAATTATATTTATTCATGTTTTTAATACAATACGTTACCTCGACACCTAGTAGTCTGATTGGACAAATACTTTAACTATTTAGTACTAAATAGTACGTTTGAAAGTACCAATAATGTTTTTTCACTTGTTTATTTATTATTTTAATTAATAGTATTGCAACAATGCCCGAGTGTGCTGCTATTGGATGCTCAAACTCTTATAAAAAAGGGTTTCTAATGAAACATTTTCCTAGAGAGACGGCCAGAAGGAAATTGTGGCTATCAAAAATGAAGAGAGATAATTGGGCTCCAAATAATTACTCTTGTATTTGTGAAGTATGTGTTGGATAAAATATTTATCCTCTATTGTATTTACTTTTTATTTGATTCAGTTTAAAAAATGCATGATGCATTGTTATAAACTCTTAAGTTAATATTATATTTTAATTAATAGATATTTTATTGATTTTGGGTCAACTGGGGTTAATCTAAACATGTTAGGTACAATATTAAGTTGTTGAGAAAAACACATTCTGGTTAAAATAATACATTGTACATTTAGTCATATTTTATTATTCTTTCATGATAGTTGTCAGAATAATATTTTATTTGGTGTTATGTACCTACCTAGATATTGTTTATCAAAACATGTCTTAAATTATTTTGTTTTCCTTTTAAAGAGTGTACGGCACTTATATTAGAAATTCGTTGGTCCATACTGGTATAAATTTCCCCTTAAAATGAATACCGGTATAAAGTAAAGAAATTTTTTCGCAATACCGGTTTAAAATATTTGTTATACCGGTGTAATTTTTCTGACCCACCTCGCGAGCTGGGTCAAAACAGTTGTACCGGTATAAATGTTTGATCCCTCCTCATTTCTTAATTTCTCCTTTTTCATATCACAATTTATCACAACTGTTATCATGTAATATTATGATAACATATTTTATAGTTCATTAATGATTAATTACTAAATTGAGTAAATTCATTAGGTCATAACTTAAACTTAACTAAGTATTTATGATTAATTAGTAATTACTAGGTACATTTATTGTTTAACCAATTTATACCTATTTTATATTGCCAACTGCCAGTACGGCAATACCCATACCTATTAAAATATGAATAATTTATTTAGTTCCTTTATGGAAGGTAAGTAGAATAAAATATAACTTACCTGTATAATAATAATAATAATAATAATTTTTATTTATTGCTAGTAGTTGATTACTGTGTACAAAGTGTGTGGTTAACATATGAATTTACTAGCTTTGCTTTACACTGAGGTATTAACTCTTCTCGTAGAGCAAGAATACTAATCTAGGTAGATGTTATTATAAATTATATTAAATTTAAAATAAAGAAATAAAAATTCACGATTTGATATGATTTATTATAAGGAATACAATATAACTTATGAGTATAGTAAAATTAGTAACAATCATGATTTATAAAATAATTAAACATTGAAAAAATAAATTTTAATAATTAAAATAGGTTTTTAAGTATAATATTTCTCATAAATAATAAATTATTAATAGTTTTGAATTATACAATACTTTTACAGATTATCATAAAACCATTTTTTTAGTTTAAATTTAAAAAGCGAATAATTTTAACACTTTCTCAATTCATCAGGGATGATCTCTAATGACTTTAGACCAACTTGTATGAATATATTAGAAGCTTTCTTGGTGTTAGTAAATGGAATTTCTAAATATTGTTTTCTAAGATTATGAGGATTGTTTTTAATTTTAAATGCTTTAGTTTTATAAATAAAACATCGCTTGCTTTTTATATAGATTTTCAATTTCTAGTACTCGTAATAGTTTGAATAGTTCTTTTGAAGGGAAAGTTATTGGTTTACTTAAGATAATTTTTATTATATTTTTTTGTGCAATTGATAACTTATGTTTTAATGCAGTGCTGCAACCTCCCCAAGCGATTATACCGTATTGTATTAAAGATTGAATCATTGCAAAGTATGTTATTCTTAAGTAGTTTTTGTTTAGTATTGTTTTAGCTGTAAGGAAAAAGTAAGTTAGTTGTCTTATTTTATTTATTAGATTTTCTATGTGAATATTCCAGTTTAAATTTTGATCAATTAATATCAGAAGATATTTAACAGATGTGTGTCTAGTTTATTTTGGGCAGGAACATGACATAGTGTTCCAATCAGCTTTATGTATGATCAATTCTGTTTTATTCGGTGCAGTTCTAGAATTATTAGTAAATGCAATGCATTTTAAGATCATTATTAGAAAACCAGTTATCGAGTACTGCAATACCTATCAGATTCACTTTTTTAAAATTTGATTGAAAATTTTTTTTAATAGGTCAGATATAAAATCTAACATTTTTAATAACATTAATTGAAATACTGTCTGAACCCGGAGCTGAATCGTTATTCATGTCAGTTATAATTTTGTATAATTCAGTTTTAGTGATCTTTCTCAGATACAATGAACATGAAGGGCCATCGGTACTATATTCATTTTCCTTATTAGGCCTATTATCGTTGTGATAACCCATTGTTAAAAAGTAATCGTTGAATTTCTTCATAATTATGGATGCATTTGATCTGGAGTCGTAGATTATATTATTTATTTTTAAATTTATTTCTTTTAAATTCGACACATTTTGGTGTGTTGCTTGTTTAATGTTAGACCAATTTTTTTTGGATTAGAACTGTTATTTTTTATCCAAAATGAGCATGTTTAGTAAATTTGTTTGTTTAACTTTTAATATAGAAATTGAAGTCAGCGATGTTGAAGATGATAGTATGGAGTATAATAGTATTTATAATCAGACAAACAATTATGAAGATACAATTCATGAAGATGGGGAAGAGAATATTGTATTGTTTACTGAACAAAAGAAACCTTCAAAACAATCTGGTGGGACATTGTAAAACTATTGTTCGGGGGTTAGCATATACATAGGGTGGCCAGACATAAAATACGAAAATACGGGACAAAGATAAGAATTATTTTATCATGAATAAACATCAATTTTTGATGAAATACTTGAATATTTAAAGTCTTAAATCTAAAAATGATAATTGATAACTAACAAATTTAACATACTAAAATAATCTTTTTTATATATTAAATCATAATTTTAAAAATTATAAATATTTTTTTTTTACTTATAAGTATAAACTATAATAAATATAATATAGACAATACAGGGTGTAACAGATAGAACTGACTTTTGGAATAACTTTTATTATGATCATTATTTTTAATTTTTTTTTTATACATATTTTATAGCCACTTGTTCTACACGTGTAAGAGGAAAAAAATTATTTTTATTTTTTATACTAAAAATAAAAAATTTTAAATTTGACTTAAATTTTTTTGAATAAATTCAAAATAGCAAACTTGTGAATCTGATTTTAAGAACGATTTGGATGGTAAAAACATTTATCTAAGTCTAGTAGTTTATTTTTTAGAATTTTTTTAAATATCAATATTTTTTTGATAAAATAAATTTGGAACGCAATAGATTTTTTAAAAATATTATTTTTGGAAATTTTATAACATGGGTATATTCTTAAAACTATTTACTAATCATATAATTTCAACAATTTTTGTCATACATTTAAGTAGCATCAATTTTTTTTTTTTTTTGGTCAGTTCTTTCTGTTACACACGGTATAGTGTAATATGATTTTTTAACAGGTGTTCGAAGTTGATGCTTGGGTATTTAGTATTACAGTTTTTGACTCCTTCGGCAAATATTTTTCGGACGAATCTATATGTTTTAAAAGTTTTTTATTTCCCAATAAAAAATCATGAAACCCAGAACAGTCCTCAGTGAAAAAATGTTTTACGACTAACATGGCTTTAACAGTTTTAACATCAAATCTGCTTTTATCATCAGTCCACAAGTTATTCATGTCGGAGAAAATTCGTTCAACATTTGCATTAGAACCTGGAATACACATTAAAAATTCCACAACGATTTTTAAATTCGGAAAGTCTCCATCAATATCTGCTGTTTGAAAAACATAGGTCCATTTTTCATCCAACGTGTTAAAAGATTTAATCTTTTGGTTTTTCTGTAAATTGGTTTTAAGTTTTAACAATAGTAAACTCGTCAAATAATTCTGCCTCATTAAATGTAAGACTAGGGATTACATTTTTTATCAATTGTATTGTATTTGAAATGTTTTTCCAGGAGAAATCGTCTTCTATATTTTTTAAAGTAATCCACGAAACTCCATTGAACTTACATAGTGTTGGATTTGTCCACTCAGTAATAATATAATCTGAACATGTTTCAAAAAAAATTGTTAGCCTCTATGCGGGCTGTGATCCATTACGATGAAGACCAAAAATAACTTTATATTCGAATAATCGAATTCGATATTTACAAATCGGTTATCATAATAATATAGCAAAAACATCATTATTCTACAAATGCATTATTATATACGATATACATTTACTCCGTAGACCTTATTTGATATTTAATACAGATAGATGAAGATTATATTTTTAATTTTATTTACATATTATTTTCTATTTTATGAAAATATTCATATTTTTAAAAAACGGGACAATATAGCGTCCCGGAACCATATGTTGGGACAACGGGACAGACTTTTGAAATACGGTACTTTCCCGTATAATACGGGACGTCTGGCCACCCTACATATACACAACATTGGGTTTTAAATTGTCTTTTGCCTATACATTAGGTGTACCATAGTACCATACTATGTATATAAATGTTTTATATGTTTTTTGGTATAGGTATATGGACTGAACAAGTCATAAAGCAGCTAATAGCTGAACGTACCAAGCTCAGCAAAGAATTTATGTATGCCAAAAAAAAAGGGACAAAAGAACAAACTGTGGGAAAAAATAGCAAAAGTTTTGCATAAACAGGGCTACACAAACTTTACAGCTACTAATTGTGATGATAAGTGGAGAGGATTGCTAAACCAGTTTCGAAAGGTGCATGATGCAAGTAAAAAAACTGGTGGTAGTGCCATTAAATGGAAATTCTATAAGCTAATAGAGGAAGCAATAGAGCCAATTGGGAAAAAACAAGCTATGTCGCCTCCTAGAAGTAAAAACAAAAAATGATTTATTCATTTATGTTCAGGGATAGTTTAGTTTATTATTTTATTTATTCATTGCTTAATTTCTAGACATATTAAAAGAGTCATCTACTTGTGAAGAAACTTTATCACAGTATGTAGAATCAACACCTACTAGACAACTTAACGCTTCAACATCTGTAGCTATTTCACCACGGTATGCAGAACTACCATCAACTACACCAAAATCCTCCCCTGAAATTCTACCATTGAGCTCGGTCAAAGGAAAATTCCCAGGATGGTTCCAAAAGTACCAAGAACAGAAAACAGAACAAACAAATTTAGCTTTGAGGAATGCAAACGAATTACATAACCGGTATATAATTTTATTTTCATAATTTAATGCAGCTACTTAATTTAGTAATTTTTCATATTAAATAGCCTAGATAAGATGGAAAAAAGAGAGGAAGAAATGATAGCGATTCAAAGGCATCTTGTTTCCAAACTTGAAGAAGCTAATAATATTGAACTTCAAAAGTTAGAAGTTTTTAAACAGATGTTCAATAAACAATAACAACCATTAGTTCTGAAAAAAAATGATTTACAAATGCCGGTTTCACAACTGTTTTAAATTAAGTATAAGATTATTACTTATTAGTTACTAAAGGAATAAGTGTGATCTCCTAAAACTGTTAAATTTGAAAAAGTTAATTTATAAAAATAGTATTAAAGTACTGCTAAAATTGACCTATGTGTATATTATAATATGTTTTGTTTTTAATTAAAATGTTTTAACACCTGATCATTATAAAACTGTTTGTAATTAATTTTAAGGTTATTAGTTACTAAAGGAAAAAGTGTGATCTCCTAAAACTGTTAAACTTGAAAGAGTTCTTTTATAAAAATAGTATTAAATTACAGTTAAAGTTTAATTATGTATAATATATTATATCTTGTTTATAAATAAAATGTTAAATGTTTTAATATTATAAAATCAAAGACAGCTGTTGACATAATTCTTGTCTCTTGACATTTCCACTTAAACTATCATCTTCATGGTGGTTACCATCCTCCATCTCTGATGTGTAGGCCTCTGTTAAATTGAAATCATCGGAGTTATCAATGCATAAATTGTGTAAACAACATGCTGCAGTGATAACTTTACTACAATTTTCTTTATGATATATATCCATGTGCCTTAAAAAAATATATTAGTTAGTTTAATTTATGCTATTCATGTTATTATAATAAAATACTTCAGTTTTCGAAATCTTCCAATTAATTTTCCAAATGCTTATTCAATCACTACTCTGGAACTACTGAGACACTTGTTAAATTTTAATTGATTATCACTTAGGTGTCCATTATCCTTAAATGGAACCATCAAAGTACTGGTTAGTGGATATGCGCCATCACCCAAAATATGACACCCTGGTGGTAATATTACACAAGGTTGGCTTAATAGTTTTTCACCAATTATACTACGTCTAAATACTCTTGCATCGTGTGATGAACCTGGCCAACCAGCAAAACAATCAATGAATTTTAAATCTCTGTCAACAATGCCCTGGAATAAAATATTGTTTATACATCAAAAGTATGTTATAATTCAATGATTTAATATAATTTAGTAAAATACTTAATTAATTTTCTCTCACTTGTAGCAAGACGGTAGGAACTTGTTTTCGATTATAGAACATAGTTCTATTTAACTTGGGCATTTTTGTTCTCTTCTCCCATGGAGCAAGAATCGAAATATGACATCCGTTAATGGCACCAAAAACACCCGGAAAAGAATGTTCTCCTCTTAAACTATTAAATTTTTGTACAACAGTTTGTGCCTTATGGTTTGTAGGCCATTGTATAAAGTTTTCTGACAAATTATTCATTTCTGTTAAGCAATGAATAACAATTGTATAGCTTGTGCTTTCAGCAATGTCAAATCGATTTCCTATTTGTCTAGTATATTAAAATAAACAAAAAGTATAATTTTTTTAGAGGATGTTTAATATATTTAAAATGTAAATATTATATATTTTTATATGTTTATACAAACCGATGAGTTTCACAATTAGCCATATACCAGACAAAAACTAACACTTGTTTGTCAGCAGGTATCTTCATTTTATATCTTTCCAAGGGCAAACTTAAATGTTGTAATAAAATCTAATTCATACAAATTAAACTTATTAATTATACCTACAATTGCTTAAATATTTTCAAACTGTTTACCTCAATGGTAGTTCTACTCAACCGAAAATGTGCTTTGAACTCACAATCTGAAAATGACACTACAGTGGTCTCTACAAAGTTTAAAATTTTGCTCTTTGTCTGTCGATAATTAAGGAGTATATCGTCATCATCATCATCATCATCATCATCATCATCATCAAGTACATTAGATACTAATACATCTAATACAATGAATATAATTTATAAAAACATATTTATAATACCTAAGTTGCATTGATAAAGTATTGAATTATATTATTATTTTAAAAAATGTATGCTTACCATGTAGTATTTTTTTTTTATGAGTAAACGCACTTATAATGTTATTTCCGGTTTGATTTTTTGTTAGAACAAAATCTTGAAATATTTGCATTTGCAAGTTATTCATTTTAATTTTTTTTAATTTAGTTATTATTTATACATATAAAAATTCAAAATGTATACAACATGTAAACCCGTTATCTATTATTAGTTTTAACTAATCAAGTGATAACTAAAATGAAATATGGAGGGGATATTATTGGTATTTATTATTTTGTACCTAAAAATTTCTTGATATACCGGTATAAACTAAAAGATACCGGTGTAATTATTTTTGTATACCGGAATAAATGAACGAATTTCTAGATATTAACTGATATCTTTAAAAATAAAAGTATAATTGAAGTTATTAATCCATGTTGTTTGTTAATAGATTTAGAATTTCTTGAGTACAATATGTGGGACAATTTTTATCCAAGTCGTTGTGAAAAAAGTGTAATGTTTATTTTATATTTATTATTAATACAATAATATCTAATGGAACTAAAAAGACTTGTTAAATTAAAATGTATGTAGATAAAATATAATATTTGACACAAAATACTGGAAACCTAACCTACATAAATACCTATATTATAATTTAAAAAATAATTAAGTACACATAAATTTTACCTTAACTAATTGTTATTATGCTTCTTTTCTATCAATTTGCTGTTGTATATATTTTGTTTTTCACATTTGCCCCAAAATTTAATTATATTTAAATTAAAAATGCACATAATAACCATTTAATATACTGATGATTCATTTAATTTTTCCTCAGATTTTTTTCTATTCTAATGAATTAAATCAGAAATATTAATTTTCATTTGCTCCAAAAATTTGTATTTTTTAAATTGCAATGAGGCGTAAATGTAAATTTAAAATTGTGAACTGGATAATGTTTTAATACTAAATATAACTCCAAAATATGATTGCTTGAAAATTTTTACATTACATTGAATTACATTGAAAAATATGTGTAGAATACATTATTTAATAGTGAGTGTTTATATTAAGGTAACCCTTGTCAAAACCATTTACATTTACCCCAGTTGACCCCAATTTGTTATTTTTATATATTTTATGATAAACTTTTAAGAACCTAAAAATTGTATACCTACCATTTAAAATTCATTTTAGATTCATTTTGAGCCAGATATGTGGGAGAAAACACGAGAAGATGGTAGTCGCCGTCTTAAACACGATGCTTTTCCTACCTTATTTTGTTTTACAAAAGAAGTTAAGAAACGAAAACCACCAAAAAATAGGCAAAGTCATACCTTTAAATCACATAATGAAAGTAAACAGCGTTGGTGCTTCAGAGCCATCAGATTGTAATTTAGAACATGTACAAGCAATGTCTGATGTTATCATTCATAATAATTTGTCTAACAATGATCATCTTTACAAGTCTATGGTATTTAAAATTCATCACTATAAAAAACAGTTAAGATTTTTATCTGATAAATTAAAAAAAAATGAAACTAATAAAAGTGCTGAGCTTTTGAAATCTATTTTTAACAATGACCAAATAGAAGCCTTGTCCAGAAAATCTACTAAATTCATGAAGTGGTCTAATCCTACTATTTGCAAAGCTTTAAAGATAAAATTTAGCTGTGGTAATAACGGTTACGAAGAAATGTTGAAACAGAAAATTCCATTGCCTTCTCAAAGAACTGTAAGAAGAAGATTGCCGATGTTAAAATTTGATAGCGGTGTACTAGATGAAGTTTTTAAATTTCTAGAAATTAAAATTCAAACGTTTCAAGATTCACATGAAAAAGAATGTGTTCTTATAATGGATAAAATGGCAATAACACCCTCTAATATATTTGATGTGTCTTTCAATAAAAATGTAGGCAATATTATATTATAAATTTGATTGATATAAAAAAAAAATATTTTGAACGATTCAATTAAAATTAAAAAATGTGTTAACGATGTTATATTTAGTCAACTAAGTCTTTGTTTATTTTAAGTACGGTATTAATATAGAGTATTTTTGTTTGTTTATAATACAATGTTTGTTATTATTTTTTTTATTTTTTTTTGTTATGTTATTCGAATCAAAATACTAGATAATGATGTTTATTGTTACTCTCTGCACCACCACAAGCTTAGCTTAAAGGTGTAGGTAATTTTTTTATTATTTCTAAATACTTTGTACAATTTGTGTTTTTCAAATAATAAAAAAAAATCTTTCAAATCAAAAAAAAAAAAAAAAAATCAAAAAATCTTTCAAATCAAATTACCTATAATAAATGTTAATATAAATATTCAGTAACAATTTCATGGTAATTTGGTTTAGAATAACACCAAAAACTAAACAGACCGATTTAGTTGCGTAGTTTAGTAATGTAATTTAGTTATTTAGTAGTTTAGTGATCCATTTATTTCTATTTTTCAGCAATTTGATAATATCTCAACACGATTGCTCACCAAATGATACAGGTATCAATGTATTTTGTACATACAGATACAACATTTTACACATTTTAATACTTACATCAAATTATTACGTAAGATATACAATAAAATATTATTAAAAATTTTCAAAATTATTTTAATTGTTAGTTTAAATTTTTCTATTTTATTTGTATTTAATAATATTGTTTTTTCAAAAATTTGTGGTGGACTATGCATTTAAAATATCACTATTATTCCCTAATAGTACTGTTCATTAAAATGTATAACATAGTATTATTTCATGAATTTTTTTCTATATTTACCTAGTTAAAAGACACATACCTAACTCATGTTAAAATGCATATATTGTAAAAAAAACTGTACAAACACAGATATTCTCACCATTAATAAAATATTAACATTTTTCAAAAATTTTGAAGTAATACATTGTTATTCAGTTGACGGCCACCAAGGTTTTGTTGTAGTATAAGTATAAATTAATAAATAAAAACACAAGACAAAATTATTATGAGCACAATTGTTTAATAAGAACTCTGTTAAAATGTTACAAATATCTAAAAAAAAAATAAATGCAAGATATGTTTTATTTAAAAAAAAATGTAATATTTATATTATAATCTGTAATAATTGTATTTGAATTATGGCAATTTATTTTTATAAAGGTAGAGAATAGAACATTATTATTAATTGGTCGATTAGGTCAGTAAATAATCCTGTTTCCATGCACATATTTCAGATAATCTAATAGTTCCGGGGTAGTGCCATCTCTGATGTAATATAACAACAAGGTTAGACGTTTTTGCATACGTATGCCAAGCAGTCTAAATGCCGCAGCCTTGGAACACATACTTCTACCCCATAGCCAGTATGGCCGTCGCGTAGAAATACATGTGCCAAGGCTGAGGCATTCGACATTTAGACTGCATGGAATACGTATGTAAAAAGGCTTAGTCTTGGAGTGGGGCAGCTAATTATATTTCTGAAGTAGCACATGAAAATGGATTTGTTTTGGATTGAATTGCCATAACCACAGCAGAAGGTGAAAACAACGGATCAGGTTTGAGATTGAGTGCGTTACTGCCGGCCTGGCTGCTCATGAACGCTCTTCAGTCCGTATCGATTGGCGTATGGAAAAACTGTAAACAATATAATAACATAAATACAATTTTAGTGATCCAATCGTCGAACAGTTTTGGTGAGCACCGAGAAGTCATAAACTCATAAATGCAAGTAGGTAGGTAACGTTAAAGGCTCGGTCAAACAGAAACCGAGTTGCCATGGTGTACGGCTCAGCAAACCTGTTCCTGTTCGATTGAGCCTTAACATGAGAAAACGTCGAAACACTAAAATCTAACCATAATGTCGTGAGTGTTACGGATATACAAGAGAACAAGACTTACTTGATGTCGACTTTCCACACGTGATCAAAAATGTTCGATAAACCAAAATCCGCGCCAAGGTTGGGTGCCATCGTGAATGGTCTTCCGCCCACATCGATCGACGTATGGAAAAACTGTAAACAAAAATATATAATAAATACATTTTTAGTGAAACAATCGTCGAGTAGTTTTGGTGAGCACCGGCAAGTCATAATTACGAGTAGGTAGGTAACGTCAACAAGACAAAACGCCGAATTACTAAAATCTAACCGTATCGACAGGAGCGTTACGAATATCGGAGAGAACAAGACGGAACTTACTTGACGTTGACTTTGAATGGCGTCCGATTTTGCACGCGAACAAAACCGTTTCGGCAATCCAAAATCCATACCAAGGCTGTCGCAGTACACAACCACGTTAATTGCACAACAACTTGGAACCGAACGACAACAAACAACGACAGACGGACGCTACACCGCTACGGCAGACAATAGTAGGTATTATTCAAGAACCAATCGCGAGGCTGCCTAGCGCGTATGCAGCTGCCACGACTGCCTGCCAGACGCTGCCGCTGCTTGATAATATAATATTATGCCAAGTCACAGATTTCTATATAGTAGGTTAGGTACTTATAGATAGCGAACTGCCGCCATGAATTGAAGCTTCAACGTCGGTTGGCAATTGTATGGTACCATTTCATATGACAAATAAGATGATGGTTTATTTTGTGTCATATGTCGTTGAAAAAAAAAAAAAATATTTTATATAAGTCATTTTATAATTACTATTTTATTTGACCATTAAAAAAAGGCAATACGTATTGTATAATAAATGAAATGTTTTGCCAACCGACAAAATGGCGAAAAAATCGAAGTGGACGCCGTGTGAAACGACGACGGACGCGGTCGGCAATGCCAACCGTCGCAGCGGTGATCGGCGTCGAACGGATCTAAGCGATTAAGCGAATCTCGTGGATTACGCGGCCATGGAAAACGGATAAAATGGGGAACAAAAAAAAGTCTCGGGGCAACAAAAACTGTTATTATTGACTACGATCCACAGACCTCATGATCAGGTTGGATTAGGCATATTTATCACGCATTATCACTAGTATCGCTTAGTTATCGCTCCATTAATTCCCAGGGATAATGCTGTTATTACGTCTTATTAGCATAAAAATATAAAGTATGCGTCGGCACTCGGCCGTCGAGTATAATTTTGTAAAACTATAAACACAATACATAGAAAGAACATTTCAACCAGCGACTCGTTGCTTGTA